GTTAGACCCTATTCCATCTAAGCTCCTGAAAGAGGTGCTTCCAGAAGTCATAGATCCTCTTCTGAATATTATTAACTCGTCATTGTCATTAGGATATGTCCCAAAACCTACAAACTGGCTGTTATTAAGCCTCTTGTTACTTGAAAATTGTCAGGGATTCCGGATAGGGGTGGGAAGATCATTCCACCAGCCAAGAACGGTGAACGAGAATGTTCTGGAAAGTGATTTTTAGCCTCTCTGTGTTGGTACCACGAGGCGTTGCTTACTAGTGGATCTTAGACTTCTAGAGGGGATGTAGATTCGTAATAGTGAGTGGAAGTAGGCGGGTGCTGAGCCTGTGGCTGTTCTATATGCAAGCATCAATGTCTTGCACTTGATGTGAGCCGCAACCGGCAGCCAGTGCAAGGAGATAAAGAGAGGAGTAACATGGGCTCGTTGAATACCAGTCGTGCCGCTGCATTCTGAATCATTTGTAGAGGTTTGATTGTGCTTTATGGAAGTCCAGCCAGAAGAGCATTGCAGTAGTCCAGCCTAGAAATGACAAGGGCCTGGACAAGAAGGGCCTGATCTTTCTGATGTTGTGCAGTGCAAACCTGCAAGATCGAGCAGTCTTTGCAATGTGGTCTTTGAAGGTCAGCTGGTCATCAAAGATTACACCAAGATTTCTGACCGAAGTTGATGGGGTAATTGTAGAAGGACCCATCTGGATGTTGAAATCATGGTGTAGAGTCGGAGTGGCAGGGAAGGCAAGAAGCTCAGTCTTTGCCAGGTTGAGCTGTAGGTGATGTTCTTTCATCCACGCCGAGATGTCCGCCAGGCAGCCTGAGATCTGTGCAGCTATCGTTGGATCATCTGGTTGAAATGAGAGATAGCGCTGTGTGTCATCAGCATAGCAATGGTAGAAGCCATGGGCCTGTATGATGGGACCCAGTGATGTACTGTATATGGAGAATAGGAGGGGTCCAAGAACTGATCCCTGAGGAACCCCAGTGACCAGTTGATGTGCTTTGGATACCTCCCCATCCCAGTCCACCCTGAAAGACCTACCAGTGAGATAGGATTCAAACCAGTAAAGTGGAATCCCTGTGATGCCCAGTGATGAGAGGGCAGACAGGAGGATCTGATGATTGACAGTGTCAAAAGCAGAAGATAGATCCAGCAGAATAAGAACTGATGATTTGGAATCAGCTTTTGCAATCCGCAAGGCTTCCGTGACTGACAGTAGCGCAGTCTCAGTTGAATGGCCACTCCTGAAACCTGACTGGTTAGCGTCCAGTTTGTTGTTCTGTGAAAGAAACAATGATACCCCAGGCCACCCTGAAAGACCTACCAGTGAGATAGGATTCAAACCAGCGAAGTGGAATCCCTGTGATACCCAGTGATGAGAGGGCAGACAGGAGGATCTGATGATTGACAGTTTCAAAACAGCAGATAGATCCAGCAGAATAAGAACTGATGATTTAGAATCAGCCTTTGCAATCCGCAAGGCTTCTGTGACTGACAGTAGCGCAGTCTCAGTTGAATGGCCACTCCTGAAACCTGACTGGTTAGCATCCAGTTTGTTGTTCTGTGAAAGAAACAATGATACCTGGTTGAAAACAACTCGTTCGAGGGTTTTCGCTATGAATGTAAGGAGAGAGACAGGTCTGTAGCGTAGCTATCTGTAATTTAAATGTTTAATGTTGGTTTTTTGAGCAGTGGGGTTACCCGAGCCTGCTTGAATGCAGTGGGGAGGGTGCCTGTGAGAAGAGATGTATTGATGATGTGTGTGAGTGCTGGTAAGAGTGTAGGAGAGATTGAGAGATATTAAAGCATAAAGTGTCAGTTGCTGCATTCACATTCAGAGATGAGAAATGGGTAGGTGAGGGAAGAGAGGAGGATACTACAGAGGAAAGATGGGAGGGTGAAAGGGAGTGTAGAATTTGTCTAAAAGTAACCGGTATAGGGGTTGGTGGCACACAGTTAACAAAATGTAGTTTAAATGTAATGAAAAATGGTCAGAGATATGTAGTTATAATATTTTTAATTTGTTTTACCTGTTGTCATAATGAAGACAGAGAGATTGCTTAAGTCTTTGGTAATAATTTATATAATAAAAAGCCTATAATAAATCAGTACACTAGATGAGGTAAAATAAACCATGTGTACGAGTCCACATTCTATTGATTTGTGCTTACTTTTCACGCTTTACATGTTAGCCCTGGGAGACACTCAGCTCTATATAACTTCGTGGCCTGTCGAACATATCAATTTAAATATTTAAAAAAATTAAAATTTAATAGCAATATTTCCTTTGAAAGCCACGTTTCTAGAATTTGTAAAACTGACATTGAGAGCATAGGTCGTAATTTAGATATATTTTTAAGATGGAAAAATGCAAATGCAGAAACGCTAATTCATGCGTTCATGACCTCAAGGTGATAATACCTAGAATATCAAAATCAACTGCGGGTGGCAGGTCCATTTCCTATTTAGCGCCCAAACTCTGGAATAATCTTCCTAACACTGTTCGGAAGGCAGACACACTCTTGCAGTTTAAAATCCAGATTAAAGATCCATCTCTTTAACCTTGCTTACACATAACACACTTACACATTTCTAATATTCAAATCCGTTAAAGGATTGTTAGGCTGCATTAATTAGGTCAACCCGGAACCGGGAAAACTTCCCATAACACCCGATGTACTTCCTACATCTTTAGAAGAATGACATTTATGCTAATATTACTCTGTTTCTTTCTCATTCCGAGGTCACTGTAGCGACCAGATCCAGTCTGTATCCAGATCAGATGGTCACTGCAGTCACCCGGATCCAGTCTGTATCCAGATCAGATGGTGGATCAGCACCTAGAGAGGACCTCTACTGCCCTGAATGTCAGCGGAGATCAGGACAACTAGATGAGCTCCAGAGACAGATCACCAGTGAAGACCTTGTCTCCCAGACGGCCACCGGGACAAGACCACAGGAACCAGTTGAGTCCTCTGCACAATGTG